TTCTTTCGTCCACATCTCTCATTTATTTCAGTTCAGGTCTTTACATCACAGCAGTGAGCTTCGAGGAGAAAGCACAAGACTGTTTCTACAACTTTCGTAACAGTATATATTAATAATTGTATAATGAGCTTTATGTGATTATTTTACCCTCTGGTTTTAATGTCATACCTCCAATTCCTTTTCTTTGTTTTCCTGGGCTATTAGTTACATGATTATTTTGTTGTAGATGACGCTTTGCACAAAGATGAATTTTTTTATATCAAATATAACATTTTTCCTCTTGACTTCTGACCTCAAAATCATTTATAAATTAATTATTGAAAGACTATGTTCAATAACAAATCATTTATACGTTAATTAGTGAAGGACCATGTTCAATAACACATTCTAAAAAAAATTATGTCATTCGAAGTATAGCTTAAATTTCACGCAAACACCCAAAAGAATATACAACATGTAGGAAAGTAACTAATGTACAGAATTCATTACATACTTAATTGGTTGAGGAAATTTTCCAAATTTTAGAAAGAAAAAAAATTTTCCATCCACATTCGCTATCTTAAATCACTCCTATTTTTTGGTCAACTAATTAAGGGTTAAAATGTATACAGCAAAATGTTATAAAAAAAATGTATATAGCAAAATATTGTTTTCAATAACGTTTAATATTCTAAACTAAATTATGGATTATCTAGTATTCTAAAATATATTTCAGCAGCGTTCAGTATTCTAAAATAATTTTTTGTGTAATTTTGTTCTTAAAGATTTTTCTTGTCAGTAATAAGCACCCTAATTTTAAGATTTTTCAACTCCATGCATGAAATGACAAGTTTATCACTGGTTGACCGGTCTTTTATTTCTAGCTAGGCATTCAGTAAGTCTAGACCATTTACTTGCACGAAAGTACAAAATGATAGAAATGTTTTATATGAAATTAATAATATTTTCAAGATTTAGTTAGGTCTAGTTTTTTTCCTTAAATTTGGTTTAAATTTTTATAATGATTTTTTCCTTTCCTCTCGTTTTTTGTTTAGATTCATATAAATCATACATATACGTTTAAACCATTGGTCACTTATTTTATGTTTTGATAGGATACGATTATTATTCAAAAATTGTTCTAAACCTTTATCCTGACTTTCAGTTACTTTCAAGAAAAATATATTCACCATAATATATTCCACGCTTTATTATTGCAGGTTTTTGACCTCTTGCTTTGTCGGTCCCAATACTGATTTTCAACAACATAATCATATATATTACTTACCATAATAAACTTCAAAAAGGGGGAAAATAAAAGGAACTCAGTTATGAAATTAATCTATCCAGGATCTAAAATAATATACAATGAACAAAATTAGTTATAAATAAGGATGGCAAAGGATGTTAAATTTATGATATTGATGACTTTCGTATTTTTCGAAAAAACAAAAAAGAGGTTTCACAGCCAAAATACTCCTTTGCATCAACAGCTGAATTTGGATGTGTCATTTGGTCGTAACTTTTTTGTGTGACTTGCAAACCCCTTTTAGAGAAAAAAGTTTGTTAATAAAAATTAATGTAAAGAAATCTGAATTGTGCAAAATAAGATTTCCTATCTTTTTCCTTCCCTTCAGCGGGGAAGCATACACGCCGCGCATTATCTTTATAATGAGCTTCAGTACATAATCACATGCGAAACGAGCTCCAATATCCGAAAATCTTATCCAAATTTCTTGTATTTAGGAATAAGGTTTTTTTTTTCATAATACTTAATATTTTAAAGTAATTTTTAGTGTAATTTTACTTTTCAAATATTTTCAGAGTTATTTTTTATCACTCATTTTCCTTTTCCATATCTTTAATACCAATTTTCCATATTTTTTGTACTGAGTTTTTTAATTTTTTCATTTGTCATCTTGAAAATTTTTTAGACATATATTTCATATTTTCAACTAAAATTTTTAATTGTTTCATTGCCTAGTAAAGACTTCCCAATTTTTCAATAGTCATCTTAAATGTTTTCAATACAAAAATAATTAAAAATTATGATTAAAAACATAGAAGATATGTTTAGAAAATACTTAAGATGATTAACAAAAATTAAAAAACCTAATTATTAAAAATACTATAAAAATAGAAGTTTAGTATTAGAAATATGAGAAAAATATGGTAAAAATTAATTAAAAATACTTTAAAACTAAAATTGCACCAAAAATATTACTTTAAGGTGTTTAGTCTACCATAAGATACTCAACGAAAATTTTTGGGAAGTTAAGGGTAAAGTTAAAATTGCTCTTTTGAAATATAATTAAAATTAATAATAAATAAATTAAAATATATTCTATTCTAGATTTATATAATTTATATAGGGTTAACGTACAATTTTGACTCTGATTTTATTTCTTAAGTATAATTTTACTCTTGATCTTTTTAGTGATGCAATTTTGACCTGATCTTTTTTTTTTCCACCCAAAGATCAGGGGTAAGATTGCACCTAAAAAATAAGATTAGGGGTAAGGCTGCACTTAATGATCAGGGTTTAAATTGTACAGAAAGATCAAACTAAAATTGCATCTGAAAAAAAGATTAGAGGCAAAATTACCTAAAAAATAAGATCAGGGGCAAAATTGCACTACTGAAAGATTAGGAGCAAAATTGCATCTGAGAAATAAGATTAGGGTCAAAATTGCACCTTAACCCATTTATATATTCTATATTTATATATTTTTATTCCAGCATCCTGAAGTTTTTTTCTAAATGTATCCACCATCCTAAAATATTTTGTGATGTATCTAGCATCTTGAAGTATTTTTTAGTATATAGCACCAAAACTATTTTTTTAGTGCATCCAGCACTAAGGTGGAAAAAAATATTTCAAAGTGTTGGACACACCTAAAAAATATTTAAGGGTGTTGGATGCATCACAAAATATTTTGAGATGCTAAATGCATATAAGAAAATATTTCATGTTGGATACACTTTAACCTAATATAATTTAAGGACAAAATTAAACGGCAAAATATTTTATGATACTAAAGAAAAATGCTTTCGGCTACTATATGAATCTGAATCCTATAATTAATATATCAATTTGGCAATTTTTTTCCCACGAACACACAGAATCAATCCTTTTAATTAAGTCTTTAGCCTACTGCGTGAAGGGAACGCTATGGCTTTTTGGAATATTACGAAAGGTTGAAGTCCACTGAAATGGGTTGTGATCTTTCATTTTCCATTTTTTTATTTTTTGCCATCAAGAATATGCTTTCATATTGATTTTTTTTCAATTGATTTATGCGTGTGTGGATTATACTGTATAATCTTCCCGGTCGTAATTATAAAACACCTTGTAAAAAGAGATAAATAGTCTTTATTTCTTTATCATAAATCACTATAGGATACTAACTAGATTCTGCCAATATATTACCCCGAATTAAAGTTATTAATTATGGAAAAGAATGCAACAAATTTTTGAAAAAAATTCTTCAGATAAGAGTAAAATTATTTTATTTTATTTTAAAATAATTTTAATGACTTATAATTACCTTTTGTTCATCTTAGAAATGTTTATAGGTAACTTATAATGGTAATGGAAAATGATCAGAGAAGTATTTCCTCCTGTTCCCATACAAAATATAAGTTATGTTGAACCATTTTCTCGTAACTTTAGAATAATAGTTAACTCATTAAATTTATTATATATTAAAAATTCAACTTTATCTTTATTCAAATTTATCTCACTTTGTTTTCTCTCTTTCTCGATATTACCATCAGTAATTTTTCTTTGCTTTTTGGATAAAGATTTTTGAGAGCTCTTTCTCGGAAGAAACCTCACGATTATTCCCCGTTTTTGCCTTAAAAAAATAATGAATTTCAATTTTCACATAAGGAAATAAGCAGTAATATAATATATCTGAAGTTAGAATCCACTTTTCTCTCTCCAACATCTTATAGAGTCCAACTAAGTTTGTTTACAAAAAAACACCTTTTTTTTTTGTTATATCGGTTAGATGATGTGGTGATGCTTTGTAAAATAAGAATTTAAAATTTGGCCAAAAAATTTAAAAATATACACCAGATTTAACTGGTTGCTTCTTTCTTTTTCTTTTTTCTTTTTGTAAAATGTTTGAAGCACACTTATTTGTATAGGCTTGTAAATTAAACGAGGATATTGCTCGTAAATAAGAAGGAAAAATCATGAAGCCAGACTAAAGGTTTGCTTTTCACTCAATGGAAAAAGAAGCAGGTTAGAAAAAGAGAAAGGAAAAAGGAAATTGGTTCTTTATTGGTCCACATCTCTCGTTTTAAGGCAGTTTGGGGTCTTCAGATCACAGCAGTGAGTGTCCAGAAGCAAGCAAGAGTGGCTCAATAACTTCAATAACTTTCGTAACAGTATCGATCTATGCATAATGACTTTCATAGATCCGCACAAAAGCTTCTCTCTACTTTCTTCTATTTCTAATTTCATACATCTGATTCCTTTTCTTGTTTTCCTGCGTTATTACTTATATGATTATGTTGTTGCAGATTACTCTTTGGCCAAAACGAAGGAGAATCTTCTTCCAGCTCTGATCCTTTTAATTTAGCTCCTAACTTGAAATATGATGTTTTCTTGAGTTTTGCAGGAAAAGACACTCGCTTGAAGTTTACAGATCACTTGGATGAAGCTTTCAATAGAAGTGGGATCACAACTTTCAGAGATGATGTAGATCTTGAGAGAGGGGGAGACATAAAACAAGATATGTTTCAAGCAATTCAGGATTCTCTCTGTGCAGTAGTTGTTATCTCCGAAAATTATGGAAATTCTACATGGTGTTTGGATGAACTTTAAAAGATTCTTGAATCCCGAGAAACATTGAATCGATAGGTTTTTCCCGTCTTCTATAATGTTGATCCAGCCGATGTAAGACACCAACAAAAGAGTTTTGGGAAATCCTTGGCTGAATATGAAAAGAAGTTCATAGAAGATGGGACCAAAGTGCAGAATTGGAAAGATACTTTGTGTGAAATTGGCAACTTGTCTCTGGTTGGGACACCAGGGGCAAGTAAGTTTTTTTTCCCCCTTTAAACAATCTTTTAGTCATATTTTCCATATTTATTTACATTTTATATTTTTCCCCTATGATCTTTTTAATTTTGGTTTAAATAGTTTATCACGATTTTTTATTGTCTTCCTTTTCCTTTCCTCGAGCTTGTTTGCCAGCCTCGGACTAATTACGTGCAATATAATGTCTCGTAGATAGTAATTCATTTATAGCTTATTTTATGTTTTTATATATTATCATGAGAACAAATATTACCATGAGAAAATTATGTTGAAGAACTTATACCTGAGCTTTGACCTGACTCAAATTTTGTTTTTAAGGTTCCTGGATTTGGTGGCACTGTTATATCCCTTCACATAGCAGTCGGTCACTCTGCAATTTAAACTTACTCATCAACAAAATGCCAATCAAACATTTATTTCTTTTTAAATCTTTTAACGGCATGATCAATTGTGTTCCATACCTAATATTAAAAAAAAAAATTTCCCATTACTTTTTTGGAAGAGCACCCCTAATATTATGTTGTTTACAGCAAAATTATGCAGCCAACTCCTTAACGGTCTGTTGCTAACACTTCGTTCCTTCAATATGATTATAAATTTAATCATAACTAACAATCATTATATATATATATATCACTCGCCCTTCGTTGTGAATTTTCTATTACTTATTTGAAACTTCTATAAGCGTTTCCCCTAACTGCAGTTAGTTACTTTTAAGAAAATATATTTCAATAATAAAATCCACTATAGCCCACTATTTAATTATTTTCTCTGTAATACATGAAGTGTTTAATCATAAATTTTCTTTTTCATTTTTTTCACATCTTGAAGATTTTGTGTAGCTTGAAATTAAAAGTCCATTTATGCTTTGTGCACAAAATCATTTAAGCTTGTGAGGACTGTTTCCATTGTGGCACCGTACGGAAAATTCAAAGGCACTCATTTTGATCTCTTAACAAGGGGAAAAAAAATCAAATTTCCAATGATGAACAGCTTAACTGAATAACAGTACACATTGATAATTTATAAGTGATGAATTTATATCTATCAATAAAACGAAATTGTGAATAAGTTGATTTTTTTGGGGGTAAAATGATCACGTTTCTAATCTTAACATAATGAGTAGATGGATAAATTCTTATTTGCTCAACAATTCCCCTGTTATACAAAAAATGTATAGTAGCTTTCGCAAACAACACTCGCTAAAAGTCACATTTTTCATTATTATTTTAATTTATCAGAACCATGTATAAATCATGTTAAATAATGATATTTTTTTTTTTGGTAGGCACGAAGCAGATGTCATAAAAAAAATAGTTGGAGATGTATGGACTTATTTAAGTTCTAAATTACCATCATATGATGACAATCAGCTGATTGGGATTGAGTCAAGAGTGCTTTATATGATGGCAATCTTGGAGATTGGGTTGGATGATAGACGTTTTGTAGGGATATGGGGTATGGGTGGTGTCGGCAAAACAACTCTTGCTAGAGTTGTTTTTGAAAAACTGTCTCCCAAATTTGAAGTATGTTGTTTTCCTGCCGACATCAGAGAAACTTTACTGCAAAGAGAAGGCCTAGACTACTTGCAAAAAAGGCTTCTTTCTCATTTTAGAGTAGAAGACGTGAAAATTTCTGATGCTTATGAAGGAATGAAGATGATAAGAAAGCTTCTCTGGAATAAAAAGGTTCTACTTGTCCTTGACAATTTAGATAATATAAGTCAATTAAAGAATTTGGCTGAAAGTCCATATTGGTTTGGTAAAGGAAGCAGAATAATTATCACCACAAGAGATAGCCACCTGCTCACCTTATCTGGAGTAGATGAGCAACGAATATATCATATAAAAACCATGAATGAAGATGAATCTCTCCAACTCTTTTCAAACAAAGCATTCAACAAAAATCATCCTCCTGACGAGTATTATTTGAAGCACTCTAAATCTGTGGTTAAATACGCTGGAGGCCTTCCTTTGGCACTTGAAGTTTTGGGTTCTTTTCTATGTGGACGAATTAAGGCTGAGTGGATAGATGCTTTAGATAGGTTGAAGCAAATTCCTGATAATGATATACTTCAAGTACTTAAAATAAGTTATGATGGTCTAAGGAATGAGAAAGAAAAGACAATATTTTTAGATATTGCTTGTTTCTTTAAGGGCAGGCAGAAAAGACATGTGACTCAAATTTTGGAAAGATGTAGTCTTCATGCAACAATAGGAATAAGCGTCTTGATCCAAAAAACTTTATTAGTTGAAACAGCAGATTGCAGATTACAGATGCATGATTTATTTCAAGAGTTGGGTAGGAATATAGTTAAGCAAGAATATCCCAATAGTGTTGGCAAGCGTAGTAGGTTGTGGAAGTTTGAGGATATCAAGGAAGTACTGGAAAAAAACAAGGTGAGTGCCTTATTTTCTCACGCTATTTTTCTTTAAAATGACATTTTTATTAGGGATCTGAGGCAATACAAGCTATTGTTATGGAAGATGATTGGTATGGGAAGCCAGAACTAGAAGTACATCCTGAAGCCTTTTCAAAGATGAGTAGCATTAGGTTATTCTACTTGTCCAACTTGTTCGCAGAGATGCCAGGTCACTTCTCAAATCATAGATGGTTCATCTTACCAAGGGGACTGAAATCTTTATCTGGTGCATTAAAAGTTATTCGATGGCCATTATTTCCGTTGGAAGCTCTTCCACTTGAAACTCCATTGCATAAAATTGTTGTAATTGAAATGTGTAAAAGCAAGATAAAGCAACTCTGGAATGACAAACAGGTGAGATTGATGCTTCATTCATCATTGTTTATCTTGAAAATATATCTGTGTCATTGTTTTATTGATACATTGTTTAGTGAGACTAACTCTATAATATTTTGTTTGATTCTAGTTTATGACAAATTTGAAACTTATCGACTTGAGAAATTCTCCCAATTTTATGGAAACTCTAGACTTCTCAAGAGTTCCAAATTTAGAATATCTACGTCTTAGTGGCTGCAAATCTCTTGTCAAGGTTCATCCCTCACTTGGACAGTTGAAAGAACTTGTTGAGGTGTACTTGGATGGTTGTGAAAATCTTGAAATCCTACCAGAAAAATTGGAAACAAATTCCTTGACGAAGTTAGATCTTAGTGAGTGTAGAAAAGTGCCGGTGCTCCCAGTGCAACACCTCACTTTTATATACTAATAGGATTATTTTAACGTCTGTGAATCACTAACGCCAGGTTTCTGTCCTGGGAAAAGACAGGGAATTTTTTTTTTCCTTTAACATTATAATCCGTTGATCAAATATTTCAAAGCTTCAGATAACTAATGAGTGATCCAATATCAACCCTGTTTTCAACTTAATCTATTATCATCTAAAATAATTTCATACTATACAATCTTATAATATTATATTAAAAATAAAGCAACGCTCTTGGTTGACAGCATATACGTGCACCTGGCAATGCTCACTTCCTTCTTCTAGAGGATACAAAATAATATTTCCATAAAGCAAGTCAAGTTACTTGCCCAAACATTTTGCTATACAATTTACAGAATTATAACAGGTATCTCTGCTCTTCAACCAGCTCACCTTCTTCTTAAATAACCTCCTTGTCCTTCTAGCTACTAGCCTTCACTGTTCATCATAAATTGGGGGGTGAGATTCCGAAGAATCCCCGTAGTAGTAATTTCCATCAAACAAATGTACAGATCACATAAAGCATGCAAAACAAGCCAAAGTAGAACATAACCTTGCAAGCTAATGCAATTAAGCATTTATGTACAATGACAGATAGAAAAGCTGAATAAATAATGTGCAAATACCTGGCAATCACTGCCCCATGTCTATTAGACAAGCTGAATAAATAATGCGCTAATAATTGGCAATCACTGCCGCGCATATAATTGGCAATCACTGCCGCGCAAATAATTGGCAATCACTGCCGCGCATATAATTGGCAATCACTGCCGCGCAAATAATTGGCAATCACTGCCGCGCAAATAATTGGCAATCACTGCCGCGCATATAATTGGCAATCACTGCCCCATGTTTATCAGCTGCACGTGGTCACGGCTAAAAATCCATGCAAGGAATTAAGGATTACATGTTCTCATGCTTTTTGAATAGCAATATGGCACAAACAGACATGCAGCAATCATACACAAGTGTAAGGTAGGAAAGAACTACTACCTGGTCCGCATCCCTCCAAATCAAACCTTACCGTTCTCCTTTCTTTCTGCTTCTTGGTGGGCTTTTGCAGATATCAAAACCTATCATATTGGTAAGGATAGATTAACGCTTGATCCAACTGTAAATTCATAAATTAAATAGCTCACTTAACGTCCTAGATCTTCTTCAATCTCTACCCTTACTTAGTAGTTGGTCATTCTGGACAATTTTCTTATTTAATACATTTACTGTGGGGGGTTTCTCTCTTTATCTCAGCCCAAACAGTTACTTTTCTTAGTAACTGGTCATCTTGGTCAAATATACTATTTTTATCTATTATATTTGAAGGCAAAATAATGAGTTCCCTTCACTTAATTATTCTAATCTCTTAGATCCCAAGTTAAACTTCCTCAAGCAAATATCTAACTTTAAGATTATTCGGCGACCAAACAGCCATTAACTTTAATTCTCACTCAATCCTTCAATCTTTAAAACTTCCCATTATATCTATTCTATTACCACTAGTCTATTTCCTTACTTCTCCATATCTTAAGTTCATGAAAATCACTTCACATTTTATTAATTCATTTCTAACTTCAAACATCTACCCATTTAATTCCTTCAAACTTTAACATTCCTCCTCAATTACCTTTCCTTCCATTATAATCCCACGGCCCTTATATATAAAATATAACCACTGTAAATTCCCACGTAAGTCATATATTACTATATATTGTGAGACTATATACATATATATACATCAATTCAGTCTCCTCTCCAAACCAGTCATCATCTAACCATTGATTATTTCCCCTAGCTCCATGAATTCAAGTCTCACGACAGCAACAAACACACACATGTACCGAAACTATATACATATATGTCAGTTCGGTCTCCTCTCAACCAGTGAACCCAACGCCACTTAACTCTGCAAATTCAGTTCCCACAAACTTGACCGAGGCGCACATAGACAAACGTGTATCATTTTCTTTCCTATCTCATAACCAACAAAAACCAGAAACTTTCCAACCTTTAGAGCTTGTCTCGGCTTACCAGAATCAGGGGTCATGAACTTAGAAACTTCACGCACAATAAAGCTAGACGACATGCAATCCCAGAACAAACCTATATACCTCATTCATATAACATCCAACCACCAAAAACCAGACATCATTATCTCAAGCTATTAGCTCCTGTGTTAGAAGCTAAGAACCACAACCGAAAACAACATGCGAGCACAAAACCCACTCCCCTGTCTCGGATTCAAGAAACAGAGCAACCTATCACATATAAACACCTTCATGATCCCGCAGCACATGCATATATCTATATATATATATATATAAATAAAAGAAGCGTCCTTCTCCTCCCTTTAACCTCTGTTTTCGGTTGACATAAACAGAGAAGAAAAATAGCACATGCAAGCTCAAAAACCAGCACCATATACTTCAATCGGCCATAAAAACACCAGCTCACTGAAACTTGTATCCTTTTACTCACTTTCTCTCACTAGAACCCAAACTTCTTTCATCATTAACTCTTCAAACACACAGCAAACCAAAGAACGAAGAGTAGAATGATGATCAGGGGGCTCACCTGAATCTGAAACTCCGTTTGCATGCAGGAATCTGGCCACCGATCACTACCTCCGATCACCAACTTCTTCCTCTCGGTCTTCCCCTCTCTCGAGTTCTCTCACTGTCGCGGATGGAAGGAAATGAAAGAATGCCACGGTGATCAGTTATGTAATGAAGAAGTGAATCAGGTGGCTAATGGAGAAGGAAGCACGTGTATTACATAGTTACTGGACCATTTTGCCCTCCAAAATAATTATTTCTCCAATCTTATCCTTCTCCTATTTTTCTAAAATATAAGATATGTCCAGAAATTAAACCAAAATATCATAAATGGATTTTTCTTATCCATTAGCTTCTTTGAACCATAAAATAATTTCCCTAAAATTTTCTAGTTAATTAGAAACCTCTAAGTATTTTCTAAGAAAATAACCCATTTTGCTATGAAAATAGCTTTAAAATCATTTAAGCCACTTTTCGGGGAATGAACTTTTCCAAAATATTTCTAAACCTTGAAAAATCAATATTCCATAATTTTTCCTAATTGATTGAGCTATTAAATAATTTTAATGAACTTTCTCTTTCTGCTCATCCTGAGTCAGAAAATTCGGGGTGTTACACCCAGAGTTCGGGAAAGGTATGAAAAGATTATCATATCTTGATGCAAGTAATACTGCTACATGTACACTTCTTGTATCACTTGGATCCTTGACGAGTCTTGGATATTTAAATTTACGATGTTGTGAAATTCTTAATCTTGACGAGTTCTTGAAGACTCACATAACTCGTCAAATTGCTGGCTTGAATGTAACGTCATTAACGAAGTTATATTTAGAGTGGTGTGGCATAAATGATGGATCGATTCCTGATGATTTTCACAGTTTATCATCACTCATTGTATTGGATCTATCAGGTAATGATTTTGTTAATCTACCCACTGGTTGCTTCTCTGGTCTTTCTCGACTTGTCTTTCTTTCATTGAATTTTTGCACGATGCTTAAGTCATTGCCAAGGCTTCCACCACGGTTAATTCGATTAAATGCCTCCAATTGTGATTCGATGGAACCATTATCATCAGATGGACAATTATGGAATTTGGTTGCTTCACTTGAGCATGAGGTATATGTTTCTCTTCCTACCACCTATAATGTGTATCCCCCATCTTAAAACTACAATTACATAACATGACTATTTCTTTATTTCAGTGTCGTGGGCGAACTAAATATGTAATCCCTTATGATGAGGAAGAAGAGGCCGGTATATATATGTTCAATGTATGTATGTATGTATGTCTCATTTTTGATTTAATAATGATTATATAGAGAATTAAAGAGACATAACTCAACGTGCGTGAGCAATTTAATCACATATTTAGTTCTACGTTGATACTAAATCAGGAAAACAATTAAACCACAAGGATATGGTTATTTCAAGAAGACGAAGAGACAAGTAAATATAGTTGATAGTTAGAGAAACATACCTCATGGTCAATTAATTCAGATTGAGACATTTGCAAGAATCCAGAAACAGATCACAGTGTAGATGAAAAAGTCTAGAAGAAGCAACCAGAATGTAATAACTAATGCCACATTAGCTTAAGTCTAACTCTGTTAATGATATTAGGTTGCCAAAGATATTGAATGAAGTTGTCAAAAGCTTCTACAAGCCCAGATGTTTGTTCAGAAACTCTTCGAGAGCGTTACATGTAACAGAAACCATATATGAAATTACAACTAAAAAAAGACAATGGAGTTATCACAATTCACAATGACAGAAGTAAAGAAAATAAAATGAATATGAGAAACATATTTCCTATTATTCCGTGCATCAAATTAATGCTCATCACAAGTTATCTAATGGTTGAGAAAGATTAATTAAAATTAATAACACAAGCAGCAACCTCTGCTTGTGGTAACCCATTCGCCCGCCTTCCGCATTTCAACTGTGGGCCCTTAGAATATTGACAAGGGACTCTAAGTTTGGTTTTTATAATGAATTTTTTCCTTTCTTCTCGTTTTTTGTTCAGATACACGTACATTATACACACACACATATATATATATAAACCATCAATCATCACCTGTATTCTTAAAATCTTGTAATATCCAGTTCATTTGAAAATGAGTTAGATAATAATATAGGATCTGAATATATTCAATTAATAAGATTTGAATAATATCTTGATTGGGATTTAAATATATTGAATTAAATGGGAAGCACTATAATTGAATAGGATTTCAACCAGAGGCTCAGATGAAAAAATTAATAATTAATTTTGGATTTGAATAATATATTAATAGAAATTTAAATATATTAAATTAAAAGTAAATATTGTTTAATTTCATATCTAATTAAATATACTAGTCTATGCATCACACAAGAAATTTCTTGTTGGTCACTTATTTTACGCGGTGATATAATGCAATTATTATTCGAAAATTCTGTAAACCTTTATCC